ACATACTTCTATTGTAAGCTAGAACCAAGCAGGACTGGAGGGTCTCTCCAGCTTGTCTCCTATAACTTATACCTCTGCTCATTATCCCCACTTTGAATCCAATACCTCCTATCATCCTAAATGCTTCACTTTGATCCTGAAGTCAGGTTTAACACACCAGGCCCACCACCTTGACCAGGCACCACTTTCTGCTACCATAAACAATATTTTTTTTCTGAGTAAAAGCACCAACAACAAATATTTTGAATGTAATTCACTTTTCATGATGCAAACTGTCATTTGATATTTAATTTTGTGATCCTTTTGTAAAGAATAAGTTTAGTCAACACAATAATAATACAAAAATACTATTTGATATGTTAGTTAGTCAGTAGAGCCTATAAAAAAAAAAAACTGTATCCATCACCTTTTGTCTTTTAGGGGTTTATTTACTATAGATGTCGAGTTTGTAATAGAAAAACATATGAGCTTGTGTTTTTAGCAGAAACAGGGTAAAATGATAGAAAAGCACACAGTTAAGAAAGCTCTAAAACAACAAACAAAAAAACAAGCACTTGTTGCCTTTATTTAGTATTGAAGGTACATGAATAAAAAGAAGTCAGACATTTATGTTACAATAATTATGAAAATGAGCAGACAAAGCTGTAAGTACGTATGGGCTGCTTCAAGATTTTTAAAATATAAGATTGAGTAAAAATGTGACATTCAAAGAAAGACAATAGATCATGACAGAAAAGCAACAATACTTAAAACTGCTGCTAAAATGACCAAAAATACTAATTATTACAGTTTTCAATACATTGACCTGTGCAAAAATATAAAAATAACTACTCAGTAAATTTACTAGCAGATTTCAAGTGCTGTAATATTAACATATAATCTACTCGAATTAGATATATTACAAATAACAACACTAGTGTTGACCAATATAAATTGAAGGACCTGTGTAAAATACTGAGTGTGGTCCATCAGGTGTTTATTGCATAAAATTAAATTTATTTTTATAATTATTTTCTCTTTAAAGAAAAATAAAAGCATGATTACCTGAAAAACGAATGACTTGTGAATTAGTTGGATTCGTTCAGGTTGTTAGTGATCAGACAAAAGCGTTATAGTCATACTGCTCTTGACTTGCCACCAGTTGTTTTAAAACAATGTTACTCTAAGTGTAATAGATGACGGCCCATTTTTATTCCATACCATTACTGTCTGATTTTTACTATCAGAAATATTTCCAAACAGATAATTCTGACTTTCCATTTCCGATATAGATATAGAAAGTGTCCCCTAGCATCTCATTAAAAGACCTTCACTTGTAGCAATCATATGATAAAAACATTAAGGTGATTTATATATCATAACTTTATATTACCTCATTGTACCCTGATACTTTTAATTGGCCCATAACTTATATCAAATTTGCAGATTTTTGCAAATTAAGATTTTAAAATATCAGTTCTAACAATTTTCTGAAATGGTGCTCAGGTGGACCTGGAAACATGTCACCAGTAGCTACACACGCAGTACAAGCTCTACTGCCATTGCATCTATACCTTCTTTTTATGGGCTGTGTCATCAAGAAAGGAGAGTTCAAACCTCATAGGAGGATGCAAACTCACATCAGGTCACCTCCATATAGCTAAACAGTAATCAAATCAATGCATGATGAACATTGAAAGGGAGACATTGTTGTGTATTGTATATTTTATGAGCATCTGTATAGATCTTTGGAAGTGTTCACTATTGTAACTCCCTTCTTATATTTCATCATAGAGATCATGTTTTAATATAATGACAATGTTTGTATGTAATGATGACTTTATAAATGATGTTTGTAAAGGACCTCTATTTTACATTACACCAGAAAAAAGAAGTATTACTGATTGTAATTTTATTCTGTATCATATGTTTTTTAACAAAAAAAGGTAACTCAAGCTACATTGGTAATTTTTACATATTTATTTTGTTATGTAAATCATATTTATAATTGCTATTTTCACAGAGAAGTGATTCTTTGTAAATTGTAAATACACTGTTGTTCTTTGCTTTGTGCTAATTGCATGTCTTTGTATCACACCCAAAAAGCTAGAGATTACATATATTATAAGGTGAACATTTCCGAGCAGTCTAATTATTTGTTATAATTCAGTAAACATGAGTATTGGCCGAGATAGAATAATATTTACTGTCTTTTGAGAGAGTGATATACTGTAAAGGATCAGGAGACTTCATCATATCATTGGAGGACTTTCATCACGTCATAGCAACCTACAGTTGAAAAAGTATCCTAAGTAAGAAAAACAGATTAATAAAGTCTGTAAAGTTTTGAGGATAAAATGAACCCTAGACTTTAAATCTGTATCACAATTATGTCATTCCTTTTTAAATGAACAAATTTAATACCTTAAATGGATCTATCCTGCATTGTTCAGCTTTCTTTTTGTATTGTTTCACAAATTTGCACTCTTAGAGTTTGAGAGCCTTTGTTTTTCTTTTCTAATCAGGTCAGGTAACATTACATGCGCCCTAGTTGAGCTACCCAATAAGTTGAATTGCGACAAACATATTACATTTTATGTCTGATCTGAGTTTATTCCAAATACAGCTGATTTAATTTTATTTTGATCCATTTATCCAAGATATTTTTACTTGTATGGATGGTAGGTAGGTAGGTAGGTAGGTAGGTAGGTAGGAAGGTAGGTAGGTAGGTAGGTAGGTAGGTAGGTAGGTAGGTAGGTAGGTAGGTAGGTAGGTAGGTAGGTAGGTAGGTAGGTAGGTAGGTAGGTAGGTAGGTAGGTAGGTAGGTAGGTAGGAAGGAAAAAGCATAAAAAAAAGCATTTGTGTCTTAACTTGGGATAGGCTGTTTTCCTATCAAAAGGTTAAAAAAAGGAAGAATATGAAATGTATTGGAAAATATTAGCTTTTTTACTTTACTTTTAGCAAAATAATTTATAGACCAATTTAAACCATTACATGTTAGACTATGTTTCATATACTGCGACCACCCAAATTCCAGATTTCAGAATTTCTGTGTATATAGAATGATTGCAATCTAACAGATGTTTAACTATCACAGAGGGTAATAAAACAAGCCCAAATCTGGAGTATAAGAGCCAGCTTTGCTACCTGTGCCAGCCATTGTCAGTCACTTCCTTCAAGCTGCTCTCAAACACAAATGTTATGTTTGAGAAGAGATCTGACACATTCTGACACCCCATGCCTATCCCAGTTTGATTTTAATACGATGATCTATATGCAAGAGAGCATTTATTACTATTTATGGAGAAATCACACATGTAAAATCCCCCTGTTGGCAGGTCTACATACTTTAGAAATTATTTCAATCCCTACATTGTTGTCTTTAATAATTGTCCCGCTTCAATCTTTATCAGCTGCCTTTTGGCTCCATCTAAACTGTGAACTGTATTATGCAAATACAAATAGCTACAGTACCAGTGCGATAGCCTAGAACAGGGCTATGTTAAATGAATATTAGATTTGTTTTGCCTCCAACAAGTTACCTATTGTTGTGCTGGCCTTTCTGCTACTCTGGAAAAGCCATTCAAACAAGATAATCTGTCTGTGTCTCGTCAATGCAGTGTACTGTTCAGCTTTGCAAAGCAAAACATTGAGACAAAGGGTTTATTTAAATGGGAAAATATGAAGCAACTGGCCTAAAAGAAAGACCGGATACTTCTCAGACTCTCTAGCATTTGCTGGCTGAAAGAGTGTGAACCAGGAGGTTGGATGGTTGGTTGGTTGGATGGATGGATGGATGGATGGATGGATGGATGGATGGATGGATGGATGGATGGATGGATGGATGGATGGATGGATGGATGGATAATAATAATTTCACTTTTCCTTTTTGACAAGGAGATTTTCTAGTAAATCTTGGCTAAGCCATCTTTATCTATAAGCACTCTGAAAACAGCGCAACCCAAAGAAGTGCTGAACTAGATTTCAAATATAAGCTGTTAAAACCAGTGATGTCAAGTAACAAAGTACAAATACTTTGTTACCTTATTTAAGTAGAAATTTTATCTATCAATACTTTACTGGAGTAATTATTTTCTAGACAACTTTTTAATTCTCCTCCTTACATTTTTTTGCAATGATCTCAACTTTCTACTCCTTACATTTTAAAAATAGTTTTTTTTTTTTCATCATTGAAGCCCATTAACGTTATGTCTTGTTGGACTTGGTGATGCTCCAACTTGTTGTTGGTCACATACCAAAATAGTTTTTCAAGATGATGCAAAATTAAATCTGACATGTTACCATTAGTTATAAAACTGAGAAAATTAAGTATATGGAAGTTATCATCCAGAATTGTAAAAAAATATTCCTTTATTAGGGTAGTGTAGTAACCAGTATAAAGTTTAAAAGCATCTGTTCTTAACTTTTTTTTCCTGCGTTGCTTTTATTTTTTAGTAGTTGAAAAAATGCTAATTTTACATTTTTACTTCAGTAAAAAAACTAAAGGTATTAACTTAAGGTCGCTTCTACAAAAGTTTTTTTAAACAGAAGGATTTCTTCTTCTACTTGAGTCATAAACTTTACTACTTTTCACAGCTCTGCTAAAAACAAATATATAAATCCAAGATGTTATAAAGCAACTCTGACAAAAAAAATTTAAACCAGTAAGAAAGATTATATTTCAGTTGTTCCAATAAAAAAACCTACTAAAGTTCATAAATCAAAAATAACGGTACAATAATATTACATGTACTGGAAGTGTTGCTTCCCTCTCACGTGTTAGAGCTAAATTTGCTAACACTTGTGTATAATCTTCCCTCTCGGCCCATATGTAATTTATGTCTTTAATGGAAGTTTTTTACCTCCCTCCCTGTCATTACACTGCATGTAAATGCCAGTCTCCTACACTGAAGGGAGTTTTGAGTTAGCCTCTCCAGAAATACGACTCTCATGCTGCCAGCCACATGCAGCCTCCCGCCCCTCTGTGGAATATAGACCTCCTATTTATAGAGCTGGCAAAGGCCTGGTTGAGCCTGCGCTCTTCACAAACCTTTCATTTAAACAGTCACCCATAGCAGCCCACCAAATGCACAGTGACACACAGACAGAAGGAACAGGATGTGCCTGCGCAGGTAGAGAGAAGTGAAAAGTATAAACTAGGAGAAGCTAAAAGGGGACTGGATGAACAAGCCAAAGAGCAAGGAAAAATCTGATGGGCAACTGAAGGCCTACTGGACTTGATTGGCACAACGATAAACTTTTCCACCTGTTATTATGGAGACCTATTGTGGAAGACCGATGTCTGGATAAAACTCTTAAAGGAGTCAAACTGGAAAGGAAACTTTTTTTTTTAAATGGACAACACCAAGACAAGACAGTAAGCAGGACTAAATTGAAACTTTAGTGGACATCTGCTGTATTATGTAAGACACAGAAAAATATGGTTTATTGAGGGCTTTTTTAAATGACTTTTCAGCACTCGATATAAATATCATTTAAGGATTTGTGTGTCAGTAAAAAAGCACATTTTAACTTTTTTGCTCTTTGAAAACTGACTGAGAAACATCAACACATCTGTCTGTAAATGTAACCTGATTTAAAGCATGCTGCTTTAATTACAAGGCAAGTTCAGACATTTGTAATTAGTGGTCATCTTTAAGAGCAAACCAAGAAAAGGGTGAGGTCCATGTGAGAAAGGAGAGTAGGCCGTAAGAACACCAACACTAAGTCAAAGAATATTCCAGAGGAAGACATCAAGGTCTCAAAGACTCATCAACATTATGGATCCTCATGGGGGACATTACCTCAACAAGGACGCTGTGCTGTCACCTTTAGGTGCAGCCCGAATATGCCAGCTGGTACTTGGCTGCACCATAATCGCCCTGGTGTCCCACAGCGCAGGTTACAGTGCAAATTATGGGACTTTCTGCATGTTTGTTTGGTGCTTCTGCTTCACCATCACACTGGTCGTGTTCACCTTGGACATCACACGGCTCCACAGCTGCATGCCAATATCCTGGGATAACTTCACTGTGGCCTTCGCCATGTTAGCAACACTCATGTACATCACTGCTTCTGTGGTTTACCCGGTTTACTTTCTGCAAACAGATTACGCTGAGGAGGACTACGAAGTTCAAATCTACCGCATTTCTGTCACGGTCTGTTCCAGTGTTTGCTGCTTCCCGTATGGAGCCGAGGTAATTCTGACCAGAGCAAAACCAGGAGCTGTGGTGGGCTACATGGCCACAGTGTCTGGTCTACTCAAGGTGGTCCAGGGTTTTGTGGCCTGCATTATTTTTGGGGCTCTTGCTAATGACAGTGAGTACAACCAGTACATTGCCACCCAATATTGTGTGGTGGTGTACAGCCTTTGTTTTTCTCTGACCGTGATCGTCATCATATTGACTGTGTCTGGAAGAACGTCAGCCCTGAGGTTCCCCTTTGATCGTTTTGTGGTCGTCTACACGTTCTTTGCTGTGATCCTGTACCTCAGTACTGCACTGATCTGGCCCATCTTCAGCTTTGATAAAAAGTACGGCAGCACTGCTCGTCCTGAGGACTGTCCACGTGGTGAATGTCCCTGGGATAGTAAGCTGGTTGTGGCAGTCTTTACATGTGCCAACCTAGTGTTATATTTTACTGATCTTGTTTACTCCCAGAGGATTCGCTTTGTCTCAAGCTCTGCTGTCTAAAATATAAAAAAAAAAATTTTTCCGGATTTTGTGAAGGACATAATAGTATTATATGTGAGAAATATCTTACATTTACAAGGCAGTATTAAATATATTACTTTGTGCAATTGCCCCTGGTTTGGGGCTGTACATGTACAGCCTACTAGACTTTGTCAGTCTTACAAAGACTGAGTGATTTATTTATTGATTTTTAATCTTTAAGTAGAAGTAAAATGCATCTTATTGATATATCTAGTATGTAAAGATGTTAGTGCTTAAAAATGTTTGTTTATTTCTTTATAAATGCCATATTGTGTTAGTTACAGGATAACTGGTTTGTTATTTTTGACAGAAATGTAAATGTAGGGGATAAAATGAAAAATGAACCCATTTGTCTAAAATATAAAGTTGTTTTTTTCTGTTTCTCTACATTATGAGCACTGAATGAGTGTAGCATTCTTTATCTTCATATGTTTTTAATATTCGCCATGTTCAATAAAATGTCCAAACACATGCCATGTTTCAATCAATTCAATGGCTCATCAGGTTAAATGATAAATGGTTTATCACATACATAATTTTCATCTTTGTTATTATTTATATAACACTTGTGGGGAGAGACTGGAAAAAATAAACTTTGGTACTGATGGTTCAAGTCAGAAAATGTAAATCACATGGCAAAACAAGCCATTATTTGACAAAGTAAAAAAATTTAATTTAAGTTATTGGATTATTTTACAATCATGTCAAGTCATCTAATAAATTCTACTTTAGCAGCTACCTATCAAGGTAAACCTTTGGCTTCAGAACTCGGACTGTTTTATTTATAACATTGAATTTGAGCTGGCCAAATTAAATGTTTGTACAAATCATTTGCAAACTAAATACTGTATAAACAAATTAATTGTGATGTAGATTTTATAGCTTTGACGCTACACAATCATGTTATTTTCAACAGCAGTGTTCAGAGAAAAAGATTCTGATGTCAGCCTTAACAAACTGCACTGGAGAACCAAACTGGAAACAATGTGGGTGGCAACATCTGCTGTTACTTATCTCAAACTTAAAAATAAATATGAGTTTAGAAATTACATTAAGCCCAACTGCACTGAATTTTAATTCATTTTAGCTTTGCCAATGAACATGACCAATGTAGTGGCTATTAGTCACATGAGGTAAATAGGATTTATTTATATATCCATCCATCCATCAACTTAGACTCTTAGACTTGTTTTGCAGACTAGAAAGCAGAGTGGTAGTTTAACACACAGTTCTCTGCAGCTTTTCTACTATAACCCACCTGTTTCGCCATTCAGAAAGCCTCTTGCCCAGATCCAAGATCAAATAAACTACAAAATAATCCTACAGAAGTAAATCATGATAATGTAATTGAAATTAACCTTACTCCAATAAAGCAAAACAGTAAAACAATTACTGTAGTTTACTGAAAATAAGATATCTCTCCTAAAAAGAGTGTGTTGGTTAATGGATTAATTTGTAATAATCTGATTGATTTATGTTGACTTACAGAAACCTGGCTGCAGAAAGATAATCATGTTAATCAGGATAAGTAGGGCAACTCACTCCAGCAATTTCAAATTTAACAGCAGCAACAATCTTTCAGTGGGGTTTACTGATTGGTCATAAGTAAGTCAATAGTTACAATTATTTTAAACATTTAACCATTAGTTACTTCAGCCAAATTGTAAAGCATCAAAACGACCTCTGTTGGTATATTTTTATTGTCCACTGGGACCTTATTTTTAAGATCAGTTCAGACTTTGTATCTGATTTAGTGTCAAATACTGACAAGCTCAAAACAGTAGGCAATCTTAAGATACATTCCTACCATTAAGGGGATAACTTAAATGCAGCCTTTAATGCTATCATAGATTTAATTGGCTTTGTTCAAAACGTCCATAGTCCCACACATTCTCATCGTCATACTTTGGATCTTGTTACATATGGCACTGATTGTGAAGAAATAAAAACATTTCCTCAAAACCCTGTCCAATATGACCCCTGTTTAGTAAGCATCAAACTTTAATTTTTTTTCCCCTTCACAAATTGATCATTTTGTTGATGGGGTTGCTTCTTCTCTGCTCACCACTTTAGACATTTAACTCCTTTGAAAAATAAATACTTTAATAATAGGATGGTGACTCACTGCTTTAATTTAGAGCTACAATTGATCAGGAAAAAACAATTCACTGCTGTATACAATTACCCTTTTTAAAGCAAGAGCAGCATATTTCACTTGAATGAAATGTGAGAAAAAAAGAATAATCATAGCTCTGAAAAAGTACTGATGGACGTTACTAATGATATAGTATGTGGTCCCGTTAAATTTCTATGGGAATTAAGGGAACCACACTGGCCTGGAATCAACTTTATTTGACTGGAATTGTCATAACTAGTCATTTGAATCACATATTAAATAAGTTTCTAGAATATTTTTCTTACATTTATGGAATATTGCAAACAGAACTATCTAAGGGGGGAAGCTGACAAACTAGTCCATGCATTACTTCAAGCAAGGCTTGACTGCTGCAATTCTTTACAGTCAGCAAGTTTACTAAATGTTGTCTAAAGCCTTTAGCTGACCCAAATCATTGCAGAAAATGGTGGAGTCAGAAAAATTGTATAGGTGTAGCCAGGCAGGGACTAATGTTCACTGATGGGTGGTCAAAAACGAATAGGCGTAAAAACCAGTTCAGGGTTAATCTGCACTACTCATACCATACCAGCAGGAAAACGAACAGGCCCAAAATCTGTATTTTCCAAATCAATTACTGAAGACAGACTAGATTTTCATCAAGCTCTTCTAATGAATAACCCATACAAATACATATATGCTGTCTAAATTAAGATATCCATGATTCTGTTTAACATACTCAATAAATTGAACAGTTGTTCTTTAAATTTAATTACAAAGGAGACTCCCGAACATTGACTGTTTTAGACAAAATGTTTAGGGTGGGGCCTGTGTCTTCTGATGAAGGCACAGAGCAAAAGAATAAAAAAAAAACAAAAAAATGACAAAGACAAGTCAAAAAGGGTAGGAGTTCATTTAGTATAACAACCCAAAAAGCAAAGATTACAGGCTCCTGTTTTAACAGATTAAGTTGTGATCCTATCTTAGTGTGACTGAAGCTTAAAGCCATGCTACCTTTAAATAGTTTTTAAATTGTAGTACAAATTATTAGTAAGAATTAACATTATGATAGTCCAAGGGACAAATGAGTTACAGTCTCTTCTTTCATATCATCACGTGAAATTAATTTACCACTACACTACAAACAATGATCTAAAAAAGAAGATATTTCTTAGACCATTTGCACTTAATTTAAGTAGGTAATTATAAAGGTCTGTCAAAATATTAATTATTTTTTGTCTTAAGATTAAGATAATTAGATATGCACCTGAAATAAGTTTATGGGTGTGTTTTTTTTATTCATTTAAACATAAACCATCTTATTGCATTGGCAAATTGTCTAACTGACCTGCTCCAATAAAGGGAAAATTTACTTATTTCAGGAATCTGTGTATTATGTATAATACAATTTTTGCAATGTATGTTTTCAGAACAGGGGCCATACCAGGGGCCATGACTCCTGGTATGGCACTGGCCCCTGTTAGAACTGCCTATGCTCATAGATGAGTTGAAACTCTCCCTTGCCCTGCCTTTATATGGACGTCATTACACATTTGGATGATGCTTGTCACAATAGAACTACAGCCTTCCAGAAGAGAACTACAAAAAAAGTTAAACAAACATTGGCCAACAGCTGAAGCTCTCCATTGTAAAACCCAATGCATATATAAGATGCTTATATTTGCATGTGCCACAAGCAGTAATGAAATCTGTAAAATGGCCCTTCTGAAAATCACAGTTATCAGAAGACCACTCTGTTATGTGATTCAATCAGCCGATACCGATACTATATTGATACCGTCTGTTTGAACTTGACGTGTGTGTGTATATAAGAAGAACTGCATACTACTTGGATGTAAAATAATTGCCATCACGGCTTTGTCAAGCTGCTGCCTACCTTTGTGAAGCAGGAAAAAGACTATTAAAAAATCAATCCAGTAGAAAGTTTTATTGCCTACCTGGAATGGGTGACCATACTGTAGTTCAGGGGTGGGCAATTCCAGTTCCTGGGGGCCGGTATCCTGCAACTTTTAGATCCATCCTTGCTCCAACACACCTGAATCAAATGGCTCGGTTACCTCCTTAGTATGCAGTCACTTCCTCCAGAGTCTTCTCAATCATCTAATTATTTGATTCAGGTGTGCTGAACCAAAGACACATCTGAAAGTTGCAGGATAGCGGCCCTCAGGAACTGGAATTGCCCACCGCTCCTGTAGTTGAATAAACTTTTGGCTCTCAAAATGGTATCGGTGCCCTATTTGTTGGTACTCCCCGAAACCAATACCAAAATTTTAGTGCTGGATCAGAGCCTTGGCCGATACTGGTATCGGTGCAACACTAGTGTATAGTACAAAAAAGCATAAGAAAAGTTGTAATGTTTTGGAATATGTTTCCTTTAGATATGAAAAAATATCTGCACAGTAAAGAGCTAAGGATGTAGCTCTTTGCTAAGATGTACTGACATGTAAATAAGAAAAAGTTATAAAGTAGAAAAAAAAAGAAAAAAGAAAAAAAAAAAAAATATATATATATATATAGAGAGAGAGAGAGAGAGAGAGAGAGAGAGAGAGAGAGAGAGAGAGAGAGAGAGAGAGAGAGCAACTGAGTTATCTTGATGTGGATAACTGACATTAGAAGCTTAAATAATGTGTAATGATTAAATAAAAGTATTATGTTGTAATTTCTAAAAATACATACTTTAATATTTAGGTCATATGCGCTGTGATACAAACCTACACAATTGGCTCCTCAGCTTTCCAAATCCCGCTCATTCAGCTCGATGATTGGTTAAGCTTGTTACGTATTGGCCAAACTTGAAGCTCATTTGCTGATTCTTCATGTCAGTCACTGCTCTTTTCACAGGTAGATACAGGAAGTAGGGAGAAAACCAGAACACGTAGG